GTTTATATATTGACGATGCTTGAAAAAAGCTGACTTAAATGAAGTAAAATGCAGCGACAAAGACATTTCTTCTGTAATTTAGAGGTGTCCTTTAACATATTTGTCACAGTAGTAGGGTGGTTTGACCCTTTGAGAAAAACCTTTCAGTAGGGAGGGACCTGCAGTATGCCATAAATTCTCCCACCAATGTCAGGTCTATAGTGGCTGGGACGCTTAAGATCTAGAGAGTGTGAAAGGAATTCTAGACAGTCCTGTGTTGTTATATGGGCCAGGAGAGAGAGAGAGAGACCATTCATTGGCACCTCTATGACCCCTCTCCCATTCTTCTGTTGAAGAATAGCCTGCCTCTCACGCACAGTCGGCCCTAAGCTCCTCAGGGCACCCAGAGCCTGTTACATAAGACAGAAGAATGCTCCAGAAAAGTCTCAGGCATGACCTTGGCTTTGAAAGAGCAATCCTATTGGTCCTATTCTACCAGCACTGTCTCATGGTTAAAAGTCACATGGCGTGTATCCCTGTGACTATGGCTGCATTCAGACTGCAGGCCAAGGTGACCCAAATCAGATTTATGGAATAAATACTGTCCCAAATGTATTGTAGCTGCGTGGAAAAGTTTTGTACTCGTGAAAATGTTTTGTAGCTGTGAGGAAATGTTTGAATGTTTGAATATCAGAAAAACCCAAGGTTTACAGGTACAGATCGATTCTACAGGTACAAAACAAACCTACAGTTACAAGTACTTTTGTCCCACATTTGACACGTTCTTCTGAATAACCAATGGGGATGCTCTGATTAACATGTCATTTGACTATCTAATCAGGAATATCAGTTCACCATCCAATCACGGATTCTAGGGGACATTTTCATGCGAAATTCAGTAAAGACATTTCATGGTTCCCAGGCAATGTATCATACTGACTTTGGTGATCCTCTAGTATCACCAGCATTTCAGTTAAATTGGATGGATTGCCCTAAAATTTGGTACACACATTGGTGTTCCTTTGGGACAAATCATATTAACTTGGGTGGTCCATTAACTTTAACTCTCGTGCAGTCATCATCAGTTTAAATTTCAATGAATACCTTCAAAACTAATGACACTCCCATCAGCCTCAGCTTTGTCTTTAGTGCTCTTTAGCAAATGCTGGCATGCTGAACTAAGATGGTGAACATGGTAAACATTTACTTGCCACATGTATACAAATTGTTCATTGTTATTGTGAGGATGTTAGAATTTAGCTTAAAGCCTCACTGAGCTGCTAGCATGGCTGTAGACTCTCAGGCCCCATCCACACTACTGCGTTTTCGTTTTAAAAAAGAGACCTTTTGCTACATTAGCACCTCCCATCCAGACTAAAACGGCGAAAGCAAAGACCTAAAACGTAGAAGTTTCATAATGCTGCCGACCCCGTTTTTCCGTTTTGAAACTCCGAGGTAGTGTTTTAGTGGGGACGGGCAAAAACGGAGGACTTTAGAAACGATGACGCATACGCTCTGGTGTGGTTCTTCGTCTGTAGTACTTTATTCTTTCGCCGAATCTTCTGTAACTACGGAATAAACCATCTGCTTCATGTTTACACTGGCACGCGCATGCCAGTGTGAACGGCCACTAGATGTGCATTTTCATTGTAGTATAGACAGAGATCAATTCTGACACGCAGCTAAAACGCTGGTGTGCACAGAGATCGTATTCGTTTTAATTCACCGTTTTAAAACTAAAACGGAGTAGTGTAGATGGGGCCTTAGTCTTGTCAACATATTTTCGTTGATATAGTTCTTGTGAAAAAAGCTGAAAGAATCCAGAATGTGTAACTCTGCAATACGTCCAATCAATTGGAAGAAATTCACAACCTCCAACATGTCGCATAGTTTCATAAAAGTGTTTTACTGCACCCAGCACACTCAACCCTAGATATTTTTATAGGAATGAGGTGTGTTCCTGTGCCAATCCTATTTAAGCAGCTCAGTATTCTCTTCTGGCAAGAATCATGTGCAATGAAAGAACCTTTTCAAACTCTCGTCAAACCTAAAATTTACCTCCTTGATTGAGAAGAAAGGAAAAGTTGAGGGGAAAAAACACATTCTTAACATGTACTTTTTAAAAATCTGATATCTAAAATGGACATTAGGGGAAACATTAACTGTATATAATATTATTTATCAACTCACATTTGCTAACAATTTTATTGGAATTTAGCTGCTCCCGGCCTTGTTATTCCCTCTTCAATTATGCTTGATCCAGAGCTTTGATAAACTGCTGCTATTGGCTGAAAAGCTTAATGATGCTTTTGAACTGTGGAGTAACAGACACACACACACACACACACACACAGGCATTGTTAATGTTGTCCCTTTATACATGCAGAAATAGCTCCTGTTTGGTATTACTAAAAGCACAAAGGCGTTTTTTGTGTTTTTTAGTATGTGAATGTACAGTGCCTTGCGAAAGTATTCGGCCCCCTTGAACTTTTCGACCTTTTGCCACATTTCAGGCTTCAAACATAAAGATATAAAACTGTAATTTTTTGTGAAGAATCAACAACAAGTGGGGCACAATTATGAAGTGGAGCAAAATTTATTGGATATTTCAAACCTTTTTAACAAATAAAAAACTGAAAAATTGGGCGTGCAAAATTATTCAGCCCCTTTACTTTCAGTGCAGCAAACTCTCTCCAGAAGTTCAGTGAGGATCTCTGAATGATCCAATGTTGACCTAAATGAGTAATGATGATAAATAGAATCCACCTGTGTGAAATCAAGTCTCCGTATAAATGCACCTGCTCTGTGATAGCCTCAGAGGTCCGTTTAAAGTGCAGAGAGCATCATGAAGAACAAGGAACACACCAGGCAGGTCCGAGATACTGTTGTGGAGAAGTTTAAAACCGGATTTGGATACAAAAAGATTTCCCAAGCTTTAAACATCCCAAGGAGCACTGTGCAAGATAATATTGAAATGGAAGGAGTATCAGACCACTGCAAATCTACGAAGACCCGGCCGTCCCTCTAAACTTTCAGCTCATACAAGGAGAAGACTGATCAGAGATGCAGCCAAGAGGCCCATGATCACTCTGGATGAACTGCAGAGATCTACAGCTGAGGTGGGAGACTCTGTCCATAGGACAACAATCAGTCGTATACTGCACAAATCTGGCCTTTATGGAAGAGTGGCAAGAAGAAAGCCATTTCTTAAAGATATCCATAAAAGTCTCGTTTAAAGTCTGCCACAAGCCACCTGGGAGACGCACCAAACATGTGGAAGAAGGTGCTCTGGTCAGATGAAACCAAAATCGAACTTTTTGGCAACAATGCAAAACGTTATGTTTGGCGTAAAGGCAACACAGCTCATCACCCTGAACACACCATCCCCACTGTCAAACATGGTGGTGGCAGCATAATGGTTTGGGCCTGCTTTTCTTCAGCAGGGACAGGGAATATGGTTAAAATTGATGGGAAGATGGATGGAGCCAAATACAGGACCATTCTGAGAGGAAAACCTGATGGAGTCTGCAAAAGACCTGAGACTGGGACGGAGATTTGTCTTCCAACAAGACAATGATCCAAAACATAAAGCAAAATCTACACTGGAATGGTTCACAAATAAACATATCCAGGTGTTAGAATGGCCAAGTCAAAGTCCAGACCTGAATCCAATCGAATCTGTGGAAAGAACTGAAAACTGCTGTTCACAAACGCTCTCCATCCAACCTCACTGAGCTCGAGCTGTTTTGCAAGGAGGAATGGGCAAACATTTCAGTCTCTCGATGTGCAAAACTGATAGAGACGTACCCCAAGCGACTTACAGCTGTAATCGCAGCAAAAGGTGGCGCTACAAAGTATTAACTTAAGGGGCTGAATAATTTTTCAGTTTTTTATTTGTTAAAAAAGTTTGAAATATCCAATAAATTTCGTTCCACTTCATAATTGTGTCCCACTTGTTGTTGATTCTTCACAAAAAATTACAGTTTTATATCTTTATGTTTGAAGCCTGAAATGTGGCAAAAGGTCAAAGTTCAAGGGGGCCGAATACTTTCGCAAGGCACTGTACATATATAATCTGTTGCTCAAAGAGAAATACCAGTTGCTATATGTACATAATCTAAAATGTTTATCATAACCATAACCATATGTTTAATTTCCTTGTGAGTAGCGTGCATGGTAAATCTCAATTAACTTAATTGTGCAATAAATCACTTATGGATATATGATAATTACAGACGCAGTGTTTTCCTTTTTATCTCCACAAAGATCTTTAAAGGCTAAGGCTTTGCTTTATAATTATCTTTTATTGTAAAAAAAATCATGACAACTTTGAAATCCTTGAAAATCTTGAATTTGCAGCATTGCCTTAAGGTCACGTTTAGAAACAATGTGAAAGAGGAGGAGTGGGAACTATGAAAACACCCTGCCTTGATAAATTTGAAATAGTGGGGCAAAACATCTCAAAATTGCTCTTTTAATTTAACTTTTTTACCCATTGTGGGTTGACAATTTAAGTCCGGGGGAACGCGAAGTTCTTGCTTGATGTTTGCACAGGGCAGATAGGTTTGGCAGGAACACTTGATAAGTAAGCTGCCCTTTCATAAACATATTGTAGGATATAGAGAAAGGGATGGGCAGTTGGTGACTCCCATACTCATTAGGACGTGCATGTGTTGGTTTGTCTTACATGGCGTGTTCAGACTAAATTTTCCATAATCACAGGTGTGGAACATTACTTCAGCAACTTTTGGAGGATGGCATAGTATATCTTCTGTGGTTTTCTCTTTTGTTGTATTGCTTCTTAACCAATAATATTTTTTCTTCTCATGGTTACCTCCTATTATCGCTTTGTATTTTCTTGTCTTCCTCTTACCTTCTTAAAAATGTATTTGTCCTCCCATCTTCTAATCCTACTTCCATTTTTAACCCTTGCTAATTTTAACTCCTTTCCTCCTTTTTATAATTTATTTCTAGCTTTATCCCCCTCATCATTCTTTATTTCTGTATTTTTTCTTCCCTAGCCCGCATATCATTTTCCTGTCCCAGAGTGTGTTGTATGCTGGGAGTCCTGGTTCTGGCGAGAACGGCCTGTCTCTGTGTGGCTCCAGGATGTGCCATGAGATCGCCCACTCCTGGTTTGGCCTGGTTATCGGAGCCAGAGACTGGACTGAGGAATGGATCAGCGAGGGCTTTGCCACGTACCTGGAGGACATTATCTGGGCCCAAGCACAACAAGTACAGTCCAATCACTGTCAGATGATTGTAGTGTACTACAACTTGTGAAGCCCAGTTTGCTGTTGCCATTTTAAGAAAGGAACTTTCTCTTATTGGAAATCTAAATCAGTCAAAGAAAAACAACATCAAGAATCATCAGAAGTTAATATTTGTAATGTGTATTTCTTTCTTTTTTGTAATTATGTGCAAGTACTACTATATATTATGACCAGCACCTTTTATACCCTTGGTATAATTCACCAGCTGAGAGAAACACAGGTTGACCTTCTAACGTTCCATTCCCACAACTAATGCGCCAGGATTTCCAAATGTTACTGTTGTCGTTGGAATGCATGCAAGTGGAGTTGGCCATTACATTGGGCCAACCACAAAATAAACCATCATAGATAAACCACAAAACAGAGGAGCTTGTGATTCAATGGTATGAATCCTTTGCGTGCAACACTAACTTCAGCACTTATCCAGGAGTTCATATGCATACAGATCTAATCCTCCTACTTGCTTTCTCACACCATCGAGAGTTACACAAATGTTTTTCTCGTGTCTGCGCTGTTTAATCATCTCACATTTTACAGCATGAGCTTGGCTCTGAAGAAATAGATTTAAGCAGACCTGTTATTGTGGCCAAAATCAATAAGACAAAGTGACACAGATAGTGAGCTGTTCTGCTTTTATCATATTAGTGTGTATTTGACTTTTAATTCAATCTGTTTCTTTCTGTTTTACCTGGTGAAGTTTTTTCTCCTTGGATTTCTTTGCTCTGCCTTAACCCTTTCCCTCACATCTTTATATGTCTCCCTCCAGCTCTCCTTACAAGAGACAGCAGGACAGTCTGACCTGAAGGCACTGCTCAGGTGGAGACGACTCTCAGATGAGTTGCAGAACTCAGAAGAGGCACTTCAGATCCTCAGGTGTGTGTGTTTTTGTTAAGTATATCTGTACCTCTGTTGCCACTATTGAGGAAATAGGACCTTCAATGAGCGTGCTTAAAGCAGAACACAGTAACATACACTGACATGACGTCCTCCCCGCTATTAGTGTTAACCCTAAATATCAGCTGTCAGTGCAGCTAAGCCAATGCTACAAGACATTATTTTACCGGGAAAGGAACCAGAATTTACACTACAACATTTTTTTTTGCTGTAGACAAGGTCAAAGATTGCAATAGAATTTTGGGGAGGAGAGGAAAATATTCAATAGGTTGCATTTGTCTTAAACTAATTCTCCATAGTAGACACAGACTCCTTTTTTTTAGGTCAGAGTATGCCCGGCATTTGGTAGTTTCTGCACATGCAGACACACACGTGAGCTTGAGGTGTATGCATTCCAGGGGTACAGGTGTGGCAGGTGTGGCAAGTATGTCCAGGTGTACTGTACGGTTATGTCTTTAGAAAAAGCTTTACGCACAAGCACAGCGAACACGCACAAACACACAAACTCTTCATCTGATCTTGACAATGTGGGACCCACACCCTGTTTGTTTTATCCAGGGTGGAAGCACTGTGTCATCAGGGGATTATAGGTGTAAAACCCAGCCCGGATTTAACTGTTAACTAGCTCTTCCTTTGAGTGAAAAGGCCTCTTTACTGGAGATGACACTTGTAGCATAGTGCGCTATTGACATTCACGCTTGTAAGAGACCGTACAGAGCATGGCAGCAAATCAATGCGTTATTGATTTCATGGCACTTCTGTTTGGCACTAGCTTCTAACTATGTCACTTCCCTAATAATGTGTTGTCATCACACAATGGAAACACTTACTAGTATTTAGAATTCAATACTATTCAGTCTGTCGTAGTAGCTGTGTTATTGGAAAGCTTCAGTATTTAACTCATTTGTTACTTTTAAGGACTGCCCTCAAGGGTTTAAATGGTTTTAGTGCTTCAAGGTTGACTGTATTTGGAAATATGGAACTCTTTCCATACCGAATTGCTGATAACCAGTGTATGCTGTGCATTGTAAAGAGATGTCTTGTAATAAGAATGCATTAAACAAACGAGCTGTCTCTGTCTATCAGGGTGTTCCCCTATGAGGCAGACACACAGGTGATTAGGAGGATGAGGATTAGGTTTCTCTGCACCTGACAAGGTTAAATCAACAACATAAAATTAACACCTGAAAAATGCAAACAGTACATGCACAGACATTTCTACTCCTGTCAACATTTTGTTTTATTGACTTGCACTGGAGTCATATTATAATGATACTGTATGATCATATCCTGTCTTCATTTTACAAAGTTTTGGGTAACACTTTATTTCATGGGTTTGTAATATCTGAATAATTGCCTAATAATTTCCAATAGGTTTCCAGAAAAGAAATATGAGTTTTTATAAGTTTTGTACACATTCTTTATGGTACCTATATTTATTTTTTTACCTATATAGCAAAATACGCGCATAAACTACCACAAACATGGACCCAAATCCTCTCCCATTTGCGCCCATATAAAAAATGAAAGAGGATCTAACTCAAAAGAAGAAGGTAGTAGTCAATTGTTATTAATTCATTTCTAAAACAACATCTAGCTATGATGAGATGGGAATCCGACTTCCACACCACTGCTATGCACTTCCTGCCAATGCACAAAGCTATTTCTAAAAACCTTTTTTGAATATTTCTTAAATGTGCACTAATGGTTGGAAAGTTCTTCACTGAGCAAATTTGCACATCCAATGGGACGGTAAATCCTTTTTGTTATGTCACAGAAGTTGTGCCAGAAGGTAGTAGGTTTTGTACACTACCCAGGTGCAATGCAAAAACACATATTTGATACCTCAGGTTTGTATTAATGCAATCTCTGTGGTGTGTAATAGAGTCTGAAAAAAAAGTTATAATGGATCAATCTGTATTGAGCAATAAAGCTGACTGACAAATTTTTTTGGCACAATTCTGACCAATGCTCTGCATCAATTGTTTGATTTTGTACTAAATGAGGGAAATGGAGTCAGAGTTCAGGTATATCCAATTAATTGCTGTGTAATCTACAGAGTTCAGGACATAGCAGGCCAGCTGAACATGCAGACGTGAAATGTGCCTATAAGCAGTACACCAATCAAAATATCTAAAGTATAAGGTTGCAAATAACAAATGAGTAATAACTTCCTAATAACATTCCATAACATTCCTATTTTCTGAATGTTTAATACTGATTTACATAGTGCTTTCCATGAACCTCCCCAGAAAAGTATCAAGAAATTACAGACCCATACAGCTTTACCAAATTTTTATGTCCAAATGTATCATTTGAAGCAAAGCTTTATCAAAAACAAACAAGTTGTTGAAGCTTTTGTTTTGCACATGAGTTCTGTCTCATACAATGCATAACAGTCAGGATTACACACAGAAGATCATTGTTGACCTTCGGACAAAAAAAAAATCTCAACTCTCAGGTGCACTTACTAGCTTTTAACCGCATCTCATGGTCTGTGGGAGGAAGACTGTAACCCCATCTCAGTTCAAGGAAGGTCTTTGTCATCATGGCGTCCTTGATCTTTCTCTGACCAATAACTTTGACCCCCTTCTCAGTCGATGCTGTGACCAGTTTTGTTCTGGTGTTCACAGACAGCGGATGTTGTCTGTTTCCGGTGTTCATTCAGTTAAATTTCTTTCATTCAGTCTCTCATTCTCTCTTTCTAAAGTCTAAATTTAAGGAATTTATGTGCGATTTATGTGCGATTTTGCACGTTTGACGTGTGATATATATCGGTACTGTATTAGGAAAACTCTTATTAACATTGTGATGTTGATGACAACCACAACTCCCTGACTTAAATATTTGTTTAACTCAAAGGGCACTGGGAGGTCAGATGTAACTAAGATATTATTATAAGATATATAAACAGGCCATGCCTCTTATTGATGTGGGCAAGTTTGTCTATATGTCCAAGTCCGGATGTGGCTCCACTGTTTAGCATTACAACTGTGGGGAAACATAATATGAATAAACACAAACAGGTTGTTTGGGCAAACAATTCACAGATGCACAGAGAAATGGTAGAGGTAACCCGATGAAGGAAAAGGAAATGCAAGGGGATGTAAAGAGAGATAAGCAAACAATCACCAGTTAACACACACAAACGCACAAATAGCAGATTGTGCTTTCCAAGTTCAGTGGGTCACAATCGACACCCCATGATCCAACAGGGGCCCCAGCAGCCAGTGTTTATCAGTCCATTTCAGAAGAGTTATATTTAGGGCAGCCTGGGCCAAACGCTATTCTCCCTGCTGATTCACGGGGCTGCTTGGAGCGCTGCTCTACCTTATCCGGTTTCCACAGTCAACCCAGTGTAATTCGTCAGGATATGGCTCACAGAGCTATAAACCTGTGTGTGTGTGTGTGTGTGCGCGTACGTTTCACATTAAGTTCTGTCAGTAATAGCTCTTGATTTCATTCTGCTCTCTCTCTCTCTCTCTCTCTCTCTCTCTCTCTCTCTCTCTCTCTCTCTCTCTCTCTCTCAGACACACCCAGGTGTATGATGCATGGCTACACAAACACACGCACACACACACACACACACGCTCACACACGGTCTACAAGTCAGATAAGAGCACCATTTATTCTGCAATACATTGAGCTATTGTGTGATTCTCCAAGGCAGCAAGCTGCGACTCCTCTTAAAGCTGTAGTAAATCATCTCTGACAAAGAGAGACAGGCAAAAGACGGGGATTTATACATCCATACATCCCCAGTCTGGACAGTAGGAAGGGTGGAGTTCCTTTGTCTAACATGGCAGTGATGGATCAACATTTTTCCTCTTCCGCATTGTGCCGCCGGTATCTCTGACGCACGAAACCGACACATTTTCTCTTCTGGAAATACACGTTCTGTCATTGTTTTTGTCTGTTGCCCCAGTCCCTCTTTCTCTCTGTACTTCTGTGTCTGACACACAACCACACACATACACACACACACACACACACACACACACACACACACAATTTCCCAGGGATACAGCACGTCCTGCTGTCTTAAAAAGAGTCTATTTCATCTTATCAGCAGTAACAGACAGACATGGACACTACAGGCAGGAGACTGGACAGAGAGCAAGTAAAAAAATAAATCCATGATTTAAAAAAAGGGAAATGTGGCCATGGTACATGGATAATAATTATAAGATACATTTTCAACAACTAAGACAAACAATGTATCTTATAATGCAGGTTTTGCATGTAATCCCTTGTGTTTTGCAAATAAGTTTTTACTCTTAATCCATATGTCTGCTGACTGACTCAGAATATTGACAGTTAATTTCAATATTTTTGAAAGTCAAAATCAAGCCAGCTTTTAATGTTCATTGACACTGAGCACAATTACTAAGGTGTTCCAAAATGGATCTTCCCAAATCAGGTCACACACAGGTCATAACATTTATATGACTAACGCACATGCACTCAAGGAGAAACACACCCTCATTTGCATAGTGAAAGTCCTTCTAAGAGTGTCTAATTTAGAAAATTCCAGGAAGCTGATGACTCCGTCTCTCAGTCCACCGAGCAAACCAAACATTTTCCGTCTATCTCCTGTCCTCGATTTCTCCCACACCTCCTCCTCCACTTCTTGTCCCCAGTCCTAATCTACCTCATCTCCCACCCCCCTCTTCCATGCTCTTCTGCTCACCATGCCTGGGCAAAGACTCAAATACATCAAATATTTGACCAACTTGTGGCTCACAGCTGACGCCTAACTCGAAAGATTAAACACTGAGCTTTTACGTCATACATGAATCAGTATGAATATGATTTTGACTTTGTGTTTCCCTGTGTGTGTGTGTGCGCGCGTGCGTGCGTGTGCCTGGCCCTGTCATGAAGTGGTCCTGTAGAAAAGTGCTAGCCAGTGATGAAGGGTGTATTGATTGGTGGGCCAGGCGCCCGGCGTATCGACTTGGCAGGAGGGTGATCCTTCAAGGCCTTCCTATTGGCACACTGAGTTAATCTGCTCAGCCTGATCAATACTGGCTAACTGAAACTATCATTGCACTGCATCCCATGTCAGTGCTCTTTTTGCTTGGCTTTTATTGGTTTTATGTGTGTTTGTTTATTTGTGTGTTTTATGGAGGTTGATGTGATGATTTGTATCTCTGTGACAGGGAAGGTGGAACCTAGAGCATGCATCTTTTGTTCCTGTAGATCGGGTTGCTTTTTTTGTGGAAGTGTTATATGTTCGCTCAGTGAGTCATGGGCAGTAAAGTCAGAGCACACCACTGTGAGGTCATATAAACAGCATAGTATGCTATTATAAATCTGCAGCTTGATTTCCAGCTTGCCTCGGGCAAAGTATGGCTACTTGGCAATGTGTTCACCATTCAGAGGACTGGCTGAGTGGCTGGATTTAAGGTTGCTGACAGTGTATTCTTGCTCTGTAGAAATTGTGTTTTTCCTGCAACTGAAATATCTGTAAGAGTTGGAGAAAATAAAAAGTCTTTCTGTGCGGTTTTTTTTTTGTCTTTCTGCAGACCTAACATGGAGAACACTGGTCAGGCCAGTGAGTCTGGCTCCTCCACAGTTAAACATGCACTCAACCCTGACAAAGCCTTCATGCAAGTCCACTACCTCAAGGTGAGATAAATGTGGGAAAGACAGACAGGAAATTAGGAAAGGAAGGAAGGACAAAGGAAACAAAGGGATGTAGAACAAATCAAACTATTACAGAACTCCTATAATGTCCTTTTAGGTGGCCCACTTGTGCTTGGAACAGCACTCCTAACTAGGGACGCACCGAATGTTTGGCCACCGAAATTAATCGTCCGAAAATAGCAACAAAAGCACTTTCGGTGTTCGGCCTAATAAGTCAAAACACCGATTACATTTTACCAAACAATTACGTTGACATGTCGACAGTGTGGAAGCATTTTAAAGTGTCAGAGAAAATTGCGTTTGCAGACACTGTTCTGCTGAATTGTCTCGCACATCCACTCCATCTGTGGCTGACTTCTTAGAAAAGGCAACAAACGGTCTGACCCGCTTTGAGTGTTTCTGTAACTGAAACGGACCAGTGAGAGCTCAAAGGCAGGTTAGCGACTTTATCCTCTCATTTTCTCTCTTTACAGAGACAAGTGTTGCAGTATGAGTGTCCTACCTGAAGAGAGGCTATGAAGTCTTCATGTTGCGCGATACGAGAACCACATACAACATTATTTATCAAATTGGGTCGGGCTTGATGAATTGCGCGAAGATACACATGTGACAACGTCCGGTTTTCAAAATAAGGTGTCTATACAGGATGGAAATAAGATTAATTGGATAATATTCACAGAAGGTAATAACATATTACATGTGTCCATTAAAAGTAAATGGACACATGTAATTTACTTTACCGGAACCCTCTTGGGCCTCAGACCCGCCCACCATAGTGTCTCCAAATTCTGTGGGAAACACTGAGTAAAAAGCACATTTTGACTATTTAATTTATGCAATGGTAAAAAAAAAATGGCAAAAATGTGAATGTACTTGTTCGGTGCTCAGTATTCTGCCAATTATTTCATTGTATTTGATTTCGGCTTTGGGCAAGAATTTTCATTTCGGTGCATCCCTACTTGTAATGTATGGTAATAACTTTAGATCTTGCTGCAGTGTCTCTGTGTGTTGTCTTTGATGGATCATGTTTCTCTCATCCTTTGTCCAGGGTTACTTCCTCCTCAGGTTCTTGGCTAGTCAAGTGGGAGAGCAAAAATTCATTGACTTCTTCAGATTATTTGTGAAGAAATACCATGGGCAGCTCGTTTTGTCTCAGGTGAGGCTGGGGTATGGGAAACTAATTTTTACTTGATGAAGATTTGAACTGTTTTTATATGACCTGTCTCTAAAGCATGATGTTATTTCCATGAATTAATTGGAGGCTGATGTAAGCTCACTTGCCACTGTATTAGCTGAAAATGCTCCGGCAGCATTTCAAATTGATGACCGCACATCAGCTCAGCCACATATGTTTATTCTGCTGGGGCCATGAAGCTGAGTGATCACACCTGGAAATCTTTGTGTATGTATGTGTGTGTCTGTGATATGTGATGTGATGTGTTCCACCTGGCTCCTCTTTCTTCAGTGGCAGGCTGAGCCTTCCCACTAAATAATGGATGTAACATAAACACTGTTTGACCTTGTTCTCCTGACTTAAGATCAAGTATGCCTTTCTCTTTCTTTTTTTCTTCCTCCTACACCATCCCAAATGCCTTAATTTCTGTCTTTCTTTTTTGTTCTTTTTGGACAGGATTTCCTCAGAATGCTGCTGACAACCTTTCCCGACATGGAGAGGTATGTTAATGGCTATGAATAATGCTTACAGTATATTTCATGAATAATGAAAAATATGCCTAGACATATTAGAACCACTTTGGTTTGTGCTCAAGTACTAGTAGCCTGTTTTCCACTTCGAGACAAAGACATTCATCTTTTTTTTTTTTTTAAACTTAACCTTACAACTTTTTTTGCTTCACAGATGTTACTCATTAGTAAATTTATTGTCAAATACATGAGTATTTGTTGATTTGGCCTCTGTTCTTTGACTAACTTCGTCCTGCTGTGGAAACATGACCAGCAAAAGCTGCCAGCACCAATCCTGTTAAGAGAGCAGTCTCATCCACTCTCATATTAATTGAAGTGTAAAAGGATAACTGCTCCTCCTGCTCTCCTCCTCTCTAATTTTCTCTCTCCCTCTCTGCGCGCGCTTAATCATTCAGTTCTCTATTTCTCCTGATTGCCTCATTAACCTCTTCTTCTGCATGTCTCTGTCCCTCACTTTCTCCCCGTCTGTGTTTCACTTTGTTTCTCCCAGCGATTAACTGTTCTTTTCTCTTCCTCGCCAGCCTTTTGTCTGCTCTGAATGTTGTCTTTTTGCCTTTTCTGCCATGTGGAGTGTGCTGCCTGACTAGCAGAGATTGATTGAATTATACAGAGGGAGTTGGGGACAGTCAATATTTGGATCTGATGCCTCTTTCAGTAAACAACCCTGCTAGAAGAGTAAGGTTTTAGGATGAAAATACACACTCCCTGTTGAGGGTCATGGCTGTGTGCATGGTGAAGGGTTATGTATCATCTGGCCCAATCTAGACTAAATGGGGAACGTAATATTTATAAGACTCAACATAAATATGATTAACGCACATTTTAAAAATAAGTGCATTCATTGATTTGTCTTAATAAGAAAAGGTTTTAAACAAGAGTGAAAGCATCACCGTCACTCTTTCTTAAAAGATATGTTCTCATCCATCACCATTAAGGCGAACAACCAATAAAATTAAATAATGTTACCAAGCTCAACATGTAAAAACTGGTAGAAACGCTTCTTGTCTGCTCTCGTGAGACATAAAGCTTATCTAGTCCTATCATGAAGCAGTATGTTATAGGTCATGTGGTGTATTAACTGCATTAATCTTTTGTTTGCTACACAAGAAAACTATGCTCACATAATCCCATGTAATCCTACTTCATGGTGTCTCACTGTTGGTGGGGCAGAGTTTAGAGGTTTAGTCTTTATAAACTGTCAATGGTCCAAGTCCACATGCCAAGAGCTGAAATTTCCTCGTGGTGAAGACACTGATGATTTTTTTTAATGTCCAGTTTCTGGGCAAATTGGTGCTTTATGGGGATTATTGCCTATTCTAGTACACTGTAGAGTATAAAGAGGTTTTTATGTGCTTCCATTTACTGAAGGCCCACTTTCCATCTGCCAAAGTGCAATAGGAAATACACAATAGGAAATGACGCAGTAGAAATAGGATTTAACTAGTGTGTGTGGAAGAACGGAGCACAGCTTTGACCTTGCAAGAAAATGCCAGTCTCTCTAAAAAATTTTTAGCCACTCTAGCAGGAATGTGGCTCAGTGTTGGTCAGTCTGTATATTACCTGCTTGTTGGTCCAACACTATGGTCCAAAGTGAAATATGTCAATATTTATTGAATGGATTACTATCGTGGTACAAAATTAGCAGCACGTACTAGCCAAATAATGGTAAAATATGCAAGTGGCTAGTAGATTTCCTTCATTCGCCAGGAAAAAAAGCAGTGGTAATATATATATTGAGTGGCTGGTAAAATTTGAACATTCACTAGCCTTTAGGCCAATGGAGAAAAAAGTAAATTTCGCACCCTGATTGCCATGGAATGTGACGCAGACGATCATTGACCGCACAGAATGAATTGTGAGCATGTTAGCTAGGTTAAACCCTGAATGGCTCCCTTAAAGATCTAAGATTTCTGGCATGTAATGAGCATTCAGTCAAATATATGCAACAGACTTATTTATATACTGTAATAGATGACAGAAAAGTGTGGCCATCACACTGTCAAGGAAAGCTGTAAAATTAATCAAGCACTTATGTTACTCCAAAATGATATCTTAATTTCTGAAATAGACGGACAGATAAAAGAAAATAGAAGTTTATTTATAATTGGAGAGTCCTGCTGGGTCTCCCTTTAACTCAACTGGCCTGCTTGTCCCTCCCTGTCAGGCAAGACTGTGTGTGTGTGTGTGTGTGTATGTGTGTGCGTGAGTGCGTGTGTGTGTGCGTGCGTGCGTGCATGCACACACATATGTTCACATTTTGTTAT